CCTCCACCGACACAGGGACGCAAACCCCGGCAAACAGGTTGCCCAATTTGGTCGCCTCTTACGACAAGCAATGAGGCAATGGGGTGCTGTGGACACATTCTGCCCCGGGTCCACACGGGGGAAGAGCGCTTACAGTTACCCACCATGAGGAGGTGCCACAGTTAAAGTGAGTAATCCTTAAAGCGCAGACACGTGGTCCAAATCCCCCAGCTGAAAGCCAGATACACATGTACTATGAGTAGCTGAAGCAATGTGACTCGGATCTGGAGGTAAAGTAACTTTAACAGCGACAGCACGGGTGACCAACACAAACAGAAAGGAAACGAATTTTAAAGGGCCAAAACAAATGTTATACCAGAGATAGTACTAGCAGAAATGACATGATCATTTGTATCCAGACATGATAATTCTACAGAAATTGTCCTATCAAAAAGAGGTTCAGCTGTTGTTTGGAAACCTGTTTTATCTTTTTTGTCACTCTCTGCAACATGCTTGAGACTGAGGTGGGCCTTATAGTCATTTGCCAAATAACAGATATCTCATGTGAGCATATGTTAAATAGAACAAGTAAGAGTTTTCTAAAATCCTTAATCAATACCTTTGCTTCTTTTACAACATGCATCTGCATTGCAATTACTGCCGACTAATGTTTCCAATACTTCAAATTCAAATTAATCATTCGGTTAAAGCACAAAAAGATGTAAAAACATTACAAAATGTACTCCATTGCATATACACCGAGAAGACATTTAATCATTAACGGTAGCTGTAGAATATTTTAAATAAAACTGAATATAAATCAGTCAGACACTAACTATACACTAGTTAGCCATCTGTACATAAAACATATTGAAGGCAAAGACGATATCATAGCTTAGTTGGTTGCCGGTGATCAGTTTTGACTGCACCAGTTTTCTTAACATTTCTCATAATTGTCATGAATGTTTATTATTTTGTTTTACAGATTAAAATGCAGCAGAGAGGGTTCGGGTGATCCTGGCACAGTCAGGCTGGTAAGGCTCATCATCAGCTCGGGGCCCTTGCCCTCTCTACCTGCAGCCCAGACAGCGAATGGGCTCCTACGGCCGAACCCTATGAAATACAAAATGCCATTTAGAAAGTGGTCAAATGTAACATATGTTATACTTGGAATTACACTTTCTTTGTAAATGGCATTGTGTATTCCATACCTTTCGGCCGTGGGAGCCGTGCCAATTAACACTTATCAGAGGGGTATACAAAGTCCGCAGTCTAGACTACCAGTTGTCCGACTTCCACTTTTGTGGAAGCCGCGGTGGCTGAGCGGTCTGGGCGTCTGACTTTATGTGCTGGCGATTAGGTGCCTGACTCTGAGGGTGTGGGTTCGAATCCCGGATGGGACTGAACCCAACAAAAGTACTAGAATCTGTACTTTACAAAGGGGAGCCTGACGACAGTGTACTTGGGATGCTAGCGAGACATTTCAAAGACGAGGTCCGCATATGTATCATGCTTTTCCTGAATCTTGCCAATCTCATTGCTGTCAAAAGGGACAGAAAATTCAATGATATAAATAAATTCATTAGCTTTATCAAAAAGGACAAGATCAGGTTTGTTGGCTGGAATTCTTCTGAGGCTGTATATAGGCCTATTCCACAGAAGTTTGAAAGCATCATTTTCCATGACGCCCTGGACATGTTGTGGGTCGTACCATGGATGGACCTCCGAGTCAAAGCCACAGGCATGGCAAAGACGGTAGTAAAAGCAGCGAGCCATGCGATCATGTCTTTTAAGATATGCTGTTTGTGCCAAAGAAGGGCATCCATTGACAAGGTGTTGGACAGTCTCTGTGAATTCATAGCACAATCGACATTTCATATTAATATTTTGTTTAAGAATCACATTTTGGCGATTACGAGTGGGAAGTGACATCCAGGCGAAGGAGTCGGTGGGATTGCTATTCTGTTCCACATACATTTCACTGTTTCACATTTCACTGTTATTCGCACTGACTGTGCGTAGCTGAGTTGGTACTTTGACTAGCAAAGAAAATCCCACTTTGTTCAAACTGTCTTTCTCCGCATTGGGTTGGGGATGGAGGATGGTAGTATAATTCATTGTAAAGCAGTGTTGTAATTGTGTTAGATTGTTGTTTCTGTTAAGATTCGAGCAGTGGAGATCGGGGTTAGAATTGGTCTTCAGCAGCCCATGCTTGTTGTAAGATGCGATTAACGGCATCGGGTGGTCAGGCTCGTTGACTTGTTTGGCACATGTCATCGTATCCAAATTAATACTCATGTAATTGATCACCAGATTGTCTGGATCGATTATTTAAACACCGCCGCCATATAGCTAGAATATTGCTGACTGCGGCGTTAAACAACAAACCAACCGTTTAGATTCAATGGAGGGCAGAGAGGTGTGCCAGTTACTATACTCAGACTGTGAATCAAGAATGGTCTGAAAACTTCTAAAGCATTCAAGGTGATCTAGCGTAGTCTGGCCAAGGCCAAGGCCTTTCACAATATAAAAGAAGTTGTATGTCCATAAAATTGTCATCATTGTTCAGCAACTCAGCTGCTTAAGTGCCCATTAAGGAGAAGGACGTAAGAGAAAGTTCCAGAAAAGAAACATCTGGAAGATATCTATATCTGTGAATGATGCACACTGTTGTCTTGGTCACCTTACATTACATCTCAAGTTTCATCAGCATTTTACGGAGAGGTTAGGTGTTTATTGGTTACACCTTGTTTAATAGCCTGACTAAATAATTCACGAATCAGTAATATTACAGAAATGTTATCACTTTACATTGGATCGGGTGGTCAGGCTCGCTGACTTGGTTGACACATATCATCGTATCCCAACTGCGTAGATCGAAGTTCATGCTGTTGATAACTGGATTGTCTGACCCAGACTGGAATATTGCAGAGTGAGGCGTAAAACTATATTCACTCACTCACTCTATATTTAAGATTATGTGTCATCACCCCCACACCCAACAGTAGGTAATGGCGACCTTTATGTGAATGACTGCATGAAGATCTGACATGATAGGTTGGAGAAAATATGTTAGCTGTGGCAAAAAACATACAATCACACATGCATATAAAACCTAGTAACATATTTAACAAACAAATCACCCAAACTTTGAGGTTTAGTGTCGGGAAATATGAACAGCACGAACCATGCATAGTTAGAAATTCAGTCACCATATTAACGAATGTGAAGACACATGTCTTGATTATCAACGTGCATGCTGTCTACCTCCAAATAGTGTAGTAGAGTCCATGGCTGACCCTGCGTGCATTTGTGCTTGTATCTGTCATCTGCAGATAAACATTCGTGCTCCTGCATACATTCCATTATAATAATCTTTAAGCTGTGGTGAGAGTCAACAGAACATATCAGATACAGTGAGTGAGTGAGTTTACTTTTACGCCGCACTCAGCAATAATCCAGCTATATGGCGGCGGTCTATAAATAATCGAATCTGGACCAGAAAATCCAGTGATCAACAGCATGAGCATCGTTCTGCGCAATTGGGAACTGATGACATGTGTCAACCAAGCCAGATCAAGTAAGATCAGGTAAGTAATGCCTGTACCTTATCCGCAATACCTAATATATCCCATACAAAATAATACAGTAGCTGGCCATAAGTGAGTAAAATTCCAATAGACTTGCGTGTTAAGTAACTCTTGCAAGAATAATTTTCATAAATTTCGTTTCGGTCGAATTGCTTTCAATACTTATCTACCAGTTATGAAATCATCTCAGCTACATACACAAAATTATCCGGTGATTATTAACAAAACTGCAACTACTTAAACAATATATATTAGACATACCAACCAGGTCTAACATGGCTGTCTATGGGATAGATTAAAAGTTGTACTTATATATGGTGCTTAATCAGGTGTCATTCAATAACTTATCAACGGAAATATGAAAGAAAATTATGTACACGTAGCTGAATATGATTTCCAAGATGTTTGCAAAATATCAAAATAAAATGACTTCTACCGAATTTAAGAAACTTATTCTTGCAACAGTTAATTAACATGTAAGTTTAAGAAAATTAATGATGACTCACTTATGGCCAACTACTGTACAACCGTTCACATACTGTAACGCCCCACTTAGGGACATTTGATTATGTTTTCTACGTATTAATTACATGCCTTTGCGTTCCATTCGGACTTGGCTGTTGCTCTCGTGGGTGGTCTTAGTGACATCCTTTTACGGGCGCTTCATTCATTCTATAATCAGTTCAGAAATTACATGTCATTTAGAATTACTTCCCTTTGTAGTCGTCTGCTTCAACTTCGCTCCTACTCAGGGTGTGTACAGCTATTAGAATACACAGTCCTTTCGCCGCTATTCACAGTGATTTTTGAAAGGTAAGAGGTCGTTTGAATATTCATAGGAACGCCACAATTCGAAGTGATTCAGTGACAGTTAATTAACGGCTCCAGTATGAATTGTTCAGGTAAGATGTTTAGTGGCGGTGTCCTTGAAAAGGATTAGATAATGTAATACATTTGGCCATAGTTTAACATATTACTCTGTAGTTTTAAGTTTTCACTAATAAACTCTCTCATTCCTAATTTGTTTGAACAAGGCTAGACCATGAGTCTCGATCACAATAAAAGCAGTATTTCAGGTCAGTTCACTGACGCCGAAACTGTGTGGTACATAAGCCTATTTACAGTACCATACACAAGATAAGTTGCTTGCACATACAAAAACCCATTTTAATCTTTAAAATATAACTGAAACACATAATTATCTAAGTTACTATACGCAAGGTCAGAACAAAACCCGCTTATAAATCAGGCCAGGTCAGTGTGACCTTAGCGAACATTAAACTCATAGCTGTGGTGTTTGATTACACGCTTACATTGCACACACCACCACATCAGCGAAGCCCGTTAAACTGTAGGGGCCAAACATCACAGCAGTAAAATCTTTTAAAAGTTCGTACTTGCTGGTGTTTCACGAGCATAGACAAACAGATAAGTTTTTGTATTTTATTTTACCTTTGCTCATAATAATACCAACGTAATATTCTTCACAACATTAAAAACAAGGTTGGTCTGTGATGCTGTAGGTTTTATAGATGGGCCAGGTGACCACGTAAGCATAAAGTTATGGATAAGACGGGCGTTTTATAATGTCGGCCAGGAAAAGTGAACATTGAAATTTATAAAGCAGTGTCTCGTGTGTATAAATTACCCTATACAAGATAAGCTACGTATCGAAAACTGCACTTTAGACTGCCAGCTCACGGCGTCCTGCCCATGACCAATATTGTGTTTACAGCCATGATATAGGTGAGTGGGTTATATCCCACACAACAACGGACCAGCTAGCGAAGCTCAACCTGAATCTATGTTCACAGCCATTGGGGCCAACATCGGAGCACAAACTGAACATAAAGAAAATCATTCCTGCTGGCTATCACGAGAAAAGGCAGACAAAGGTAACTGTTTGTATTTTATTGTATGTGTATGCATGTTGTCTGTTTTTTTACTCGTGGCGTTCTTGCTCCTCAACAATCTGATTATGTTTGGTATCCTTCACAACACTATGGCAAAAGTAGGTCTGTGAAGCCCTGAACTTGTATCGGTGAGTCTTGTGAAAATATCATTCAAAACACAGTTGTCAGTGTTGATATGTTAGAGGAAAATGTATGTGATGTGCAGTGCTCCTTTACAACAGAGATGTACATGCCTCTCACCACCCCAACAGTTATATTACGTGCATTTCAGGTAAAATCTTATCACTTCCGCGGGCCAGGTATTCTGCTACTTATCTTCCCTTGCGTGTACATTTCCCCTTTTCTGTTGTAGACACACAAAAGACTGGGCACATTCGCTGACGTTGGAAACAGGATGTTGTCCGAGTTCATATTGGGGGCAGCTGTTGTGCTGTTTCTCGCCTACATATATCAGTCAAAACGGAAATACAGCAGGATGCCTCCGGGTCCGAAACCACTGCCAGTACTGGGCAATTTCTTCGAAATAAATGAGGGTACAATGGCACAAGATCTCACTCATTTGGGTTCTCAATACAATGGCATATTCACTGTTCATCTGCTAACGACGCCGGCAATCATTCTGGATAATGTCAAAATCATAAGGGACCTCCTTCTTTCACCTGAATATGCTGACATCTTCAGTGGAAGGGTGAGCTCATATTTCAGCAAGCATTTGGTGCCACATGATATGGCATTGCAGACGATTAGTGAACTACAGCAGTACATGAGAAAGTTGACCTTTCGTGGAATAAAACAGTACGGAACTGCACTGAAAAATGTTGAGCACCACGCCCAGGTAGAAATCCAAAAAATTATCAAGAGGTGCAGAGAAAGAAATGGCGTCTCGTTTGACCCGCTGGAAGACCTGAATCAATATGTCAGCAACGTAATCTTAATTTTGGTAAGTTGGCATATTCTGAAGAATAGTAACTAATAATCGTTGTGGTGATTACTGATTAGGTACATGAATAATGGTCTACATAGTAGTGTAAAATGGTGTTTTCATGATTAATAGGATTACATTTTATTAGAGGTTTGCCAAAGTGCCACAAAGGTCTTGATGAACTGTGGCATTCACCACTCTTGTACATATAATTTCAGATTTGTGGACAAAGATTTGAACCTGGTCATAAGACACTGGAGATGTGTGGCAATATTGCCGCTGATTTTGTGTACCTCGTCAACTTCAAAAACCAGATTCTCATGGACAATGTCCCGTTCAGTACAATGTTGATACCAGACCTAAGACGGGCATGTCAAACCATGAAGGGCGGTTACCACTATTTCACTGAGACTATTGACAAAATATCAAAGGTAATGCTCACAACCCAAACCCCAACAAAGATATGTTTACCTGTCGTCAAGTAAATGACGCTTGTTTGAAGCTGCTACTACTCTATGTGTACTATGATCACAGGTCAAGATATATATTGAATATTATTGTATACAACGGAGCAAACGACACTTGAGATGACTGTAAAATGTTATGAACTAAATATATCTTTGTAGGAATCCAAAGGTACGATGCCCGACTGTCTCTACACATTGCTGTTAAAAGAGCGTGAGGAGGGAATGCTATCAATGGGGAATGTAAAAGGGATACTGATGGATATCCTGCTTGCAGGTAGTACTATACAAAATGATATTTTGCTTTGACGTCCTTCTGTTTATCGTTGTACAGAAAGAACTTTACATGTTTTCGAGTTACAGAAGGACAGATACTCATGGACAGTCACAATTATCAGTACATAGGTGTCTGATTGTTACATTCACCTACCATTCAGTATTATGTGGACAGGTATTGCCACGACAAAAGGAACCCTCTACAGTGCCCTTGCGGCAATGGTAAACTTCCCCAAGGTCCAGAAGAAGATCCAGGAGGAGATCCAAAGGGTGGTTGGAAAGGACCGACTTCCGGATTTGGAGGACCGGAACAAAATGCCCTACACCAGGGCAGTAGAATTGGAATTGTATCGTTACTTCACGCCCGCTGGAACGCCTGGTCCAAGGCATTCGACACAAGACTGCACCTATAAGGGTTACTGCATTCCAAAGGGAACAATGGTGCGTATCAGTTATCATAAAGGGCAACGTATCTGTTAATAGCTTCCTTCATGGCAAATACATTTTATAGTACATATTACCGACTAATCATCTAGCAGGATCTACAATTTTCCCAGAAATTATTGTGAAAATCTTTGTTTCAAAATATCGATAATAGAATATTAAAATAGGTGTTGTATAGTAAGGTACTCAGTATGGGAGGCAACTCTTGTAGGCTTAAGAATGAACTCTGGTGCAGCAGACAGCTTCCGATCCTTTGTTGGCATGGCAGATTTGACATAAGATGAGAAAGAAAAGCTGATTCTAGATAATTTTGAAATGGGTGTGAGTAATGCAAAAGTGTTAGCCGATAGACATGACATTCCTCTGTCTACAGTATACAGAACTTTGAAGAATATTAAGTTAGGTGTTGGCATTGAGCACTAGACAGTGGCAGGGTGGCCAAGGAAGTTCAGTACTACGAATCGCCTGCGACTTGGTCAGATTGTGAGTAGCGGGAATTGAAAAGCGTTGAGAATATCAGAAATAAGATGACTAATAGAGGAAGTCCTCAGGTGTGAAACCCTCAGACAAGAATTACAGATATTTGACTGGGTGAAGAAGCACTGAATTCCTTCACCATTGATGAAAGATGCACAAACAGAAAGACGTTTAAACTGGTGTAGGGCTCACGAAAATCAAGAATAGAATAATGTTTTCTTTTCTGATGAAAGTTCTGTCTGTCTTTTTCCCGAACAGTGTGAAAATTGAACAAAAAGTCCCGTGAAACCTATCTACCAACGCCCAAAACATAGCCCAAAATTTCACATGTGGGGTGGGATATCATCACGTTAAGTGGCGCCGTTGTGTATTTTCACTGGAAATTTGACGAAGGAACGATATGTTGACGTCTTAAATGATCACCTCCTTCCAACGGCCCGAACACTGGATGAATTGGATTTTACAGCATCATAACGACTCAAAACACACTGCAGGCTACTCAAAGCAGTGTTTGTTCAAGTTTTGAACTGGCCCAGCTAAAGCCCAGATCCTAACCCTACTGAGTATGTGAGGGGACTAATAAAGGACAAAATAAACCAAAAAGTTCTTAAAAATATTAAGGATATGAAGAAAGAAATGGTCGAATATTGGCATACCCTGTACTAACTTTGATCGGTAGTAGGCGCATTCAGTCGTGTATTGCAGGGCAAGGGGGTCTCACAATGTACTGTAAAAACACTTAAACTGTCAGAGAATCATATCTCAACATACTCATTAAAGTAAAACTTATATGGCTTATATACATGTCTTAGATATTTGTCGAAACATCTTTCTCAAAAATGTCTGGGAATACTATACAAACTCATTACACAATCCTTATAGTCTATTTATTCCGGTCCTTTGATTTTGTAAGATGTTACCTGCTGATTCCAAGCTGAATCTAAAACGTTATTCGGAAGTCAGTCCGTACGAGAACTATGTGTGGTATCTACCAATAAACCACAAAGACATGTGATGTAATTAAGAATTGTATTCTCAAATGAACTAACTCCTCAAATCAATACAAAGGTATAACTATGACGGTACAGAATAGACTGGCAGTACAAATTCAGAGTAAGTATAATAATACAAGAGCAGGGTTTATATCGACACAGATTATGATAGCAATATTCACCTCTCAGTAACAGTAGCCCAACATGCAACTAGGCCTGGCAGGATATGACGATGACACAATGCTGGACTTCTGGTGACTTCAGATGTACTGTGAGATGAGAGGCAATAACTCACTCCCCATATATCCAAGAAACAGCCGAGACAATTCCACAATAGTCTCGAATAGGCTTTCCAGATGATTCTAGGTTGTTCTCAGCACCACTGGAGATGCCTCTACGGTTGTAGCACAAGTCGAAATATATCACACCACTGGCCCTACAGGTACTATATGTTAGAAGTGAAACATTGCTGTACAATGTATAACTCTGCCCCATAACAACATTTATTTCACTTAACAGATGATTACCCTCAATGATACTTTCAATTTAAGACACAATTCAATTGAATCTTTCTTTTGAAGGTCACTTACAATGTGTGGCGTGTACATCATGACGAATCATTTTGGGAGAATCCCTTCACATTTGATCCAACCAGATTCCTGGATGAACGTGGCGAGTTGCTGCCACCGGAGGATGAAAAACGTCAGAGGTAAACATTCAAAGTACTGGACGTGTTTCAGTTGAATCACATTATGTTGAGAAATAAAGGCTCAGACAATATTTACCACATCGATTATGATTATGACCTACCTAGGATTCTAACTAGGACGACCAATACAGTCGGATCCTGGCAGATTCAGTAAGTCAGCTCTTAGACATACAAAATAACAAGCTTGTGCATGAGTAGCACTCAACCCTGGGCACTTAGAGGAACCCACTCACCTGATGGTAGGTGACCAGATGGTGGACACACGAACACGTGCAGTTGCGGGTATAGTAACGTGCAGTGTCATTAGACAAAATACTGTGACTATGAGAAATTACATAGAGGGCTGCCACTGCCACCATGGTGTGTCTTTATGAATCAATACAAGTAAAACTATTGTGACATTTTACATAATTATTAGATATAAATAATTATGAAAGTTAATGGTTACTAGACCATTATTGAATATAATTATTTGAATACAGGGTTACACCTGACTTAACAATGAGAAATTGTTTTAATATGAACAATTCCAACAAACTTGCGTACCTGTAATTAGAGTAATTACATAGGGCTGTCACTGCCAGCATGGTGTGTGCCGGGCACATGACACATGCAGCTCATATATTACCTGAGCGTACAGACTGCAGGAGCAGCATGTGCCAGAGCCCAGGATGTACCTGCCGGCAGCCAGCACATCTGTATGGCAAGCTGTTAGGGACAAAAATTGTAAAATGTGCCAGGGGTGCTGTGCTGTACATTGTATAAACAATTGAATCTATGACATATGTACATATTTTCAAGGGTTTCACTTCATTGCAGACTGCTGACGTTTGGCATCGGAAAGCGTTCTTGCATTGGCGAGAAGCTGGCCCGAGTGAGGATATTTCTTGGACTGACGTCCCTACTGCAAAACTTCGACCTGACTCGTGATCCATCGGAACCTTTCCCTTCACCCGACCCCCGTACATACCGGTGTGGATTTATCTCACAACCACCTCCTTACAAGCTACAATTCAAACCAAGATACTGAGATCCAAGATTCCATCGTGGCGGTAGAAGAGCCCAGTGGTTGAAGCGTACACTCGTCACTCGGAAGACCCGGGTTTGATTCCCTACACTGTGTGAACCCCATTTCTGGTGCCGTGATATTGGGGGAAGAGTTGAAAGCAGCGTGAAAAAACACCTTATTCACTCACTCTTCATTTTATGTGCGCCTTTTGTCACTTATAGTATAAAATGTAGTAATACCAATATCTACAGAGAAACATCAGTATACAGATGACTTTACATTTCTTTAAAACGACGAATATGCAAAGTTAGTTGAACTTCAATTAATTTCTAAACATTGAATTTTATCAATGTTAAGTATGTTTGGTCAATGTCATCTCTCATCTCGTTGAGGCGGCGGGTTAGCATGTTGGTTCGCTCGTCACGCCGAAGACCCGGGTTCGATTCCCCACATAGGAACAATATGTGAAGCCCATTTCTGGTGTCCCCCGCCTTGACATTGCTGGAATGTTGCTAAAAGCGGCGTAAAACTAAACTCACTCACTCACGTTATATCGTTAATACACACCCCTTCTTGTAGAAGTAACTATGGCCCTGACCAGTTTTACTAATTTGTCTTTTGTCAAAAGCTGTATTTGCTACATCAATGTCATTTGTTTAGCTGACCTTATAACAGTAATTGTTATTGTCCCCCTATCTTATTGTTCGATGAACACGAGTGAGAAATACGTATCTGGCGTTATCATACACCTACAATGAATATTGTAGAGAATTGTAATTTGCTCAAATATATTCAACATTGTTTATCCAGTAATAATAAAGAAATACTCAGAGTTTTTTTAATGTAAACAAGTTCATTATCATTACTAGACAATAATATAGTTTTGTCATGTAAAAATGTCATCAACATGATCATGTATCACTTTGTAAACTTTCGTGTGTTTTACATATTTAGTCAAATGAAATATCGGGTTATATGTAGAACGTTGGATTTGAGTATTTCATTCTACACTAAAACACTTAATTCCTCATTTCGTAATCATTACACGTATGGCGAATAACTGTATTTATTACTCGCCCATGAAAAATATTGCAGTGTAATAAACTGACGTGCAAAAGAAAGTACACAGGTGTAATTGTTGTTGCAATCCCAAATATGCATTCAAACTAATAAAGTTATTGAAAAACATTAATTGTATAGAACGCAACCATCATGTTTCATTTGCCAAAATGCAACCAAAAACATTTGTCCGTGTTTTGCAAAATTGTGATTATTGTCCCATGCACCAGCACTTTTCTGACAGAGAGTATAAAACCTGTTTGTCGTGAAGACTTGACAGAAATCTCACGAGGAAATGCCAAGATTGACGTCGGCGCAACGAGAACGGGCCAAAGGAATGACACAAATGGGTGCTTTCAACAGCGATATTGCAAGGACAATGGGTTGCACAAGACAAACCATAATTCGGCTGTTTAACCGTTTCAGTACGACAGGCCAGACATGTGATCGACCCAGAAGTGGACGTTCCACAGTCACAACACCCCAAGAGGATCGCTATCTGCGGGTTATTCACCTACGCAACTGGATGTTGACGGTGACGTCATCAGCAGCCACATCATTGGGTCATCGCGTAAGCCGATTCACAGTGACAAGACGACTTCGTCCTGCTGGCATGCATGGGCCTACCGACCGCTGCGTGGAATGGCCTTGACCTTCCAGCATCGTAGGAACCGTCTGCAGTGGTCATCACTTCATCGCTGTTTAATTTTACAATGTCATTTTGCTGATAAAACACGTGTACTGCAGTGTGCTTCAACATACATTTTCCATTTCATCAAAAGGTTTTGTTATTTTTATCATATTGGAAGAAACACAACCTGTGTACTTTCTTTGCACATCAGTTTATTTTATACTGCAATATTACACTAGTGTAATACCGCTAGACATATGGCATCGTAACGATTTACAGTTATGACGTCACAATGCTGATACCTCTGGCACAATGGTATGAGACCTTGCTTGACTCGCAGAAAGCTGAGAGTCATCACACTGTAGGCAGTTTCTATCAATTTATGTTGGAGAGTAATAAACAGAATACTAAACTCGTTTCCATGAAATACCATTTTTATTAAACTAGTGAAAGATTTAGTATTTCGATACCAAATGATTAACTCGTTTAATAAAAATGGTATTACACGGAAGGTCGTGTAGTATCCTCTATATATATCGTCATCGTGTCAGTATATTCAACTGAAACTGCCAACTTAGTATCGGTCAAGTCGTTGGAGGATGATGCCGATAGAAGAACCCATTGTTTCAACATTGCTTTCGTGGTAACATCCACCCATATAACTTCCTTGTTTAAGGTGACACGTGTGAAAAACCTTTAAGACTGCAAGAAACGGTATTCAACCAAACCCAAATGGTATCCGTAGGTGTCACACGCGGCTGGAGATGGAACTATGAATGGTCAAGTTGTGACTACTTTCAAAGTCTGAAACAAATATGGCGTCGCCCTTGTCCATCGGCGATCATGATAGAATTTACCATCGGGAACATTGACATATATATAGTTGAGTTCGACAAGTTCGGGATCCTTTGGTGACATGATTAATTAACTCATTACTGCTGTTGAAGCATATGCCAAATATGGCCAAAGAGAAGTGGAACCAGTAAAATGGCTTTCTGAGTGGGTTACTTTCAGTACTTGGTATTGTCATGGGTAGAAGCACAAACTGAAGAGAGGAAAAGGAACTGAAAGCCATTCTGTCCCCTGTCATCATGAAACGTTTGTAGTAGTTCCCACTGACAAGGCCTCAGATACCAGGTTCAGTATAGTCTGTTTGCAGTGAAAACGTACCGATGAATTTCACATAAAAATAAAAAAGTAAATCGGATAAAGTGAAATTAAGAATGTGAATCCTCATTATTTTACCTTGCCAATTGAACACGTAAATCTCAACTTAGGAGAAAAGTTGTTTAACAAACGATGATCATAGATTCAAATCGCTATTATTGGTTTGCATTACAAGAGGGTAAGCGAATTGGAACAGTGAAACAAATGCATATGCGGTACGTGATGAGCGTTAACTTAGACCAACCCTACTTGTTCTCGGGGTTTCATTTAATGTGCATACCCCCTTGTAATACAAACCAATAAGACTACTCAGCTGGGGACAACGGGACCTGGATACAGCTGTCCCATGGGTGGATGATATATCATTGCCCTGGGCTGATCTAAATGGGATTGTTTGATGGGCGATATATTTGGGCTGGTCTGTCCCCATTCGTTCCCTATACCCAGGGTTAGAGCATGATGGACCAAGTCTCCGATGGACATTCACCTCACCATCTTGGAGGACCCAAGGGTCTCGTCAGCATTGGGCTTTATCCAAGAACCCTGCCGTAACACTTCCATACCATGTACCTCAGAAAGAAAGTTAGCCATGGTTACCTTGGCAAGACGGCCAGATAAGGGTCCTTAGGTCAACTGGATACCAGAGAACATCAGAGAAAAGCTCTATTTCCCTGTTGAGATCATGAGCGGCCGCCTGCCACTGCCCATAGAGAGCACTATGACTTTGTGGAGTAAGTCCTCTACGTCTGGCCTCGTCTCCACTTGCAAGTAGAAGAAGACATTTTCTATGAAAATATAAATTCGTATAATCAAAGCTTGACTCACAAATCCTGTAAACCTTATGTAGGTGTAAAAATATGTAGACAAGATGTAGACATCCCCATGGGCACCAATTGTGCTCCCCTCCTTGTGGGTCTTTTTTTCTATGGATATGAATCAGAATTTCTGTTTGGGTTGGCAAAATCAAATCAAAGTAAATTGGCCAGAAAGGTTAACTTAATCTTCAGTTTCATTCCTCTCTTTTAGTTGTGCATTCTACCAATGACACCATCAAGCATTGACTAGAACTACTCTGGAAGACGTTCTACAGGTTCCTCCACTATTTTGGCCCATTGTTAGGCATTTGGGTCCCCAATGCTACCGTGTTTCATTATATTGCAGTAAACAAGAAGTTTGTAATCCAGAAAGTCACATGCTTCGTTATTTACCCAGTAGCTTCTAAATGCCGATCAAACATTCAATGTAGATTAGGTGGAACCTGAATCAGAGGAAACAGCTCTTGGAATTATTTGGACAGTGAATGCTGTTACCCTGGGTTTCAAAGGAATTGTGAGGCGGTGGGGTAGCCTGTTGGTTAAAGTGTTCGCTCGTAACGCCGAAGATTCGGGTTCGATTCCCCACATGGGTACAATGTGTGAAGCCCGTTTCTGGTGTCCCCCGGCCGTGATATTGCTGGTATATTGCCTAAAGTGCGTAAGACTTCACTCACTCACTTTAATACTTGTGAAACACACCATTGTGCTATGTATATGTTCTGGTACAGTCATGTGTAATATTCTTTGCATCAGGTGTACCAGCACGGCAGAATGAGCGACCTAATTCTAATTCCACTGTCCTGCTTTTGGTGCATTTGTTCCGGTCCTACCGGAAGTCGGTCCGGAAATCACGACGTTTGATTATTACAAAAACGTAAATGCAGGAAAGGCAAATATCCGATGGTACCTTTGATCTTAGCACAAAGTTAGACATTAATTTTTAAAAAATTTATGTTTCTAATTTCTGGTTACATTTCCATCCATTTTATAACAACAATACATACACGTACATATATATGTGCATATAGATGTACACAGGAGTGTGGCTGGTTTAAATGTCATATCTAAGACATTACTACACTGGCTTGTTGAAAAGCATATGTAGAATCGACCAAAGGTGCCATCGGTGTACACAGGATTGTGGTTCATTTGAACGTCATATCTAAGACATAACGCAGGATTGCTAAACGCATATGTAGAGAAAAACCTATGTAGAGACGACCAAAGGCGTCATGTCATATTACATGTCATATTACGACATTACACTGAGTTGCTGAAAAGCATGTGTAGAGACGACCAAGAGGAATGAAAGCTTGCTTGTTTACAGTTTGACAATGCTTTACATTTTGTTGCCTGGTAGTATCTATATATTTCTTGTTGTCAGGGTTTGAAATTTGGGTTGATGTTCCTAAAAGTACATCTGTAAAGCATAGATTTTGTTATAAGAATTATTGCATTCAAAGGATTATTATTCATACCCTTAAATCCAAATAATACATTCTCTCTATTGAATTCGATGTTTCCTTTAGTATATTTTGCAAGCCATTCTGAATGTTTTCTCCATATGAGTTTGGCATATTGACAGGTATATAAAACATGTACAATGGTTTCAGGTGAATCATTACATAAAGACTGACTGACTGAATTTGGTTTTACGCCGCTTTTAGCATTATTCCAGCAACATCACGGAGGGGGACACCAGAAATGGGCTTCACACATTGTGCCCATGTGGGGATTCGAACCCGGGCATTACATAAAGAATATGCTGGGGATTCAACATACCCCATCTTAGATAACAAGTTATTGGTACTCAATACTAGTATATTATGATTGATTTTAAACTGAAACTATCTTAATTCACTACTTTGTGTACGTCGTTTTGCCATAAGATAAATATTCTTCCACTCTGTATCAGTGTACTCTTTTTGTAAATAATCTTCCCATTTCAACAGTGTTTTGAACTTTGTAAAGGTTGGGTCTATTAAACTCGTATAATAGCTAAACAGCCTTGTTTATTGCTTATTATTGACATGTTATAAGGTAGAATGGATCTAGAACTCGATTCAACACAAGGATTGGTGTTGTATAGAAAGGATGACACTGATTTCTTGGGTGAGGTGAAATTGGGTTTAACGTCGTGCTTGAGAATATTTCGCTCATATGACGACGTGCATGCGTGTGTATGTGCGGCTGCTTGTACTAGCCCAGACTTAAGCTGGTTTTATAGTGCTAGCCCACTGAGATACCATGCCGCAGTGAAGCATGAATACCCCACTCAGACACAGTATACTGACTCCGAGCCGACCAGTCCTTGTTGTACCCATTAATGCCGAGCGCCAGGCAGGGACCAACAAGTACCATATTTTAACGTCTTTTGGTATTACGCGGTCGGGGATCGAACCCGCGACCTTCCGCTCTCCGGGCGGACGCTCTAACCACTACACCACGGAGGCGGTCACTGATTTTTTGACTCCCTCATAAGTAAGAAAGTCTGTTTTGATATTACATCTTTTTACAAAACTTTT